GGAACGGCACATTTTGTCAGAAGCTACATTCTCCTTAGATATTACTACCCCTGGACTTGCCTACATCTCCCCACCCGCCATGCCCTTTGCAGAAAGGCAGAGAAGCCTGCACCTGGCTGGGTTACCTACTGAGCCAGTGCTCTTGTGAGATTCTACATTCATAAGTGGAATGTCCTTTCTCCTCACAGTCTGCTCTCAGTTCATTCCAATGAACCTTCAGGGATCAACGGGAAGCTCTCCTCTGGCCCCTCCAGGGTCAATTTATTCATTTTAGGAGAAGTGAATGGAGATGGTCGCTTTAATACAGCTCTCTGTGAAGACATGGATTACTATCAGGGACTATGGGCGTCCAGCCCCTTGAGAGTCCCCTCCCAGGGTCCGGGAAGAATCTACAACCAGCTGAAAATTTAATCTTTGATGAAAAGAAATAAATCTATGTACATGAAACTTCTTTGTCCATATACTTCATTATTCTGTATCAGTTCTCTGTCTACATATCTTCTACTCTGCTCTCATGCCTAGCTCCTTTCTTGCCTGATTTCTCTCTACATTTACCTGTGGTCCCCTCTAAGTTCTATCTTAATTCTCTCATCTTAGTTCCACCCCATCTAGGTTCTCATCCATCTAGTTCTTTCTCATATCAGCTCCTCTCCCGTCTCCTTCTCTCTCATCTTGTTCCTTCCTCATCTTCCATCTTGTTTCTCTAGTTTTCCTTCTAGCCCTTCAATCTACTTCTTCCCCATCTCAGTCTGTTCCTCTCCAGTTCTTACCCATCTAGTTCTTCCATTCTCTTTTCTCTTCTCCGTCTCGTCCTCAAGTCCTCTCCCTCAAATCCTCCTCCAAGTCTCCTTATACCTCTCCTTATCTCTCTTAGTTCTCTCAAGTCTCTGAGGTATTTAGTTATAAACCCAAGCAATAGCAATCCTCTGGCTGAGTACAGTCACCAGGCTTGAGTTCTTACAGGGTCATGAAGACAGACAAGAGTTTTCCTCAGGGAGTGACCATCAGGCTTTCTTTTACAGCCCAAAAAGGGAGTGGTAAAGGAGGAGGTCCACTGAGAGCTAATGATCGGTTAGTGTATCAAGAAAAGGGGATTTATGTGCTCAGTCTACATTCCTACAAGTGGTTAGGTAAGAAGTTAGGAGTCTATGTTAGTGAGACTGTATAAGAAAGGAGGGTCTCACCTAAAATTGCACAAGAAATAAATCTATCCACCTGACCTAGGAGACAGGTGTTGTTTCCATAACTTCTCCTTAGTTCAGGAGATCATTTGGCCTTGGATGCTTGATAGGTATTTTAGATGAATACACTGTTAGAAGTTCTTGGAAGCACACAAGAAAATCATCTTAGGAACCAGCTAATATATATACAAAAACTAAAATATCACCAAGACTTCTGAAGCCATGGCTTGCCCTTCGGAAAAGTCCTTGCCTTTTCCAAGTAGTAGCTTTTGTCATAGTAGCTGGGTTCCACTACATTTTCCTGCGGCTTGCAGCAGCTTACCATCAGTAGGTCAGAGCAGATCTCCATTTTTCAGAGCTTCTGATTTCTTACTATTACTCCCAAAGAAGAGTGCCAGGCCCTCTCATAGGCTCACCCAGTGGGCAAAGCTTGTGGACTATTCCCAGAGAACAGAGACCACAGCCCGGCTGTTACAAGGGCCTTTATCAGGAGGAAGGAGCATTCTTCCAAGGCCACTGCAGTTCTTGAGATAAAAACTCTATAGGAAAATTAAAAGCATCTATTTTTACTCTGAGGCTCTTAGCCACTCCTGAAAACCTTGCAGAGAACACAAGCATTCATCCTGACCAAGGCCCTCAGAAGAGCCAGCCTCAAAATCCCACTTTCGGTTTTTTGGGGTTTTTTTTTTTTTTTTATTCCCCCTCGTTTCCTATCAGCTTCCACCCACTCGCTGTGTTCACTTGGTATGCCATGGGCTTTTCTCACTTTCTTGCTCATCTCCAGCTGCTGAAATTTGGGGCAGGAATCATGCAGACTTTTTTCAAGCAATTCTCTAATGTCTTACATAACCAACCCTCAGAAATACAGGGAAGCCACGTGTTCTAAGAATGAAGAGGGATTCTTAGAGGAAAAGCCAAAGTGGTCACGTGTGGACCCACAGAATGCGCCCTTCCAGGAAGCCGGGCAGAATAACCATCCTGGGTTGCCATTTGCTCTTTTGGGGTTAACTCTAACTAGACATTTTGGCGGTAGAGTCTTAATTACCCCCAAGCGAGTAACAGCCTTTCTGAGGCTGAATTCCATTACAGGGTTTACATATACGAAGGCTGCCTTACTCGGCGATTTTAAGACTTAAGATAACATCCTTCCACGCTGTGATCTCAGGGTGCTCCATCCTGTTCTCAACTGAAGTGCCAGAGATAAAAGCTGCCAGGGCGAGGACACACAGGCGCTTCTTTCTCAGCTATTTGGACTGCGCTGTGTCATGGAGGCAGAGACTTCTCATCTCACATCTCTTTCCCAGCAGACAAAAGGTGACCCCTGAAGGCAGGGACCGGAGGACAGACCTCACAGAGCACCAGAGCATCGTGTAACCCTGACTACTGACAGTGAAAATGTTCACTCAGGCCACAGCTCCTGCTAATACATGGAGAAACATCACCCCTGCTCGTGGGGAGAGACATTGAAAAGGAAATAAAAAGCCAACTGACACACTCTAAAACGATTTTTTTTTAAAGTCACACCTTTCATCTGAGATGAAAGGATGGTTTTCAGAAAACTGACCAGCAAAGAACATGATGTAATTTGATCCTCAGATGCCCTTATTTCTAGTTAATAGAATTTGATTGAGGCTGGGAAAATGGCTCAGTGGGGAAGAGTGCTTGCTGCACAAGCTTGAGGACCTGAGTTCAAATCCCCAGCACCTGTGGGGTCACGTGCACCTGTCCCCGGCACCAGGGGTGTTAGATGCTGGTTGCTGAGACTAGCTGGCCACCAGTCTAACCGAAAACCATGGAGCTCCAGGTTCAGTGAGTGACCCTGTCTCAAGGGAATAAGGCAGGGCATGGCAGAGGGGAGGGCACCTGAGCACACATCTGCACACATGTGTACATACATGCATATACCACATACACACAAACAATTCCTTTTTTGAAGGACTAGGCAAGTAGCTCAGTGTGGCAGAGTGCTTGTCTAATATGCAAGGCCCTGGGTTCAACCTTCATTCAGGACTCAAATAAATAAATAAATGTCTTACGTGGCAAACTGAGGCAAGAGGGCCACAAGTTCAACATCAGTCTGGGCTATATAGTAAGACATTGCCTCAAAACAAGAAAAAAAAATCCGAATGCAGGTTTTGTTGTTGTTGAGACAGGGTCTTGCTTGTAGCCCTGGCTGTCCTGGAACTCTGTTTACCAGGCTGGTCCCAAATTCACAAAGATCCACTTGCCTCTGCCTCCTGAGTGCTGGGGTTGAAGGCGTGTGCCACCACATCTGGCTGAAGGCAGTTTTTACATGGCATGGGTGAATATGCAGGCTGCAATGAGGCACTTATGAGAAGACTGACGACATGCTTCTCCAGAGTCACATTCCAGAGGTAAGATCCAACCGGACGCTGACACAGTCGCCTTACTGGAGCACAGGCGATCCATTTTCTAAGCTCCTCAAGTGAGTCCTTTCTAGTCTGTTGATTTTACTTATGGCTCATCTAATGCAGCTACAGGTCTTTTCTAAAAAGCAACTTTTAAAATTACATTTCATTCATTTGTGTGTATTTGGGATGGGGTATGTGCATGCCATGGTGTACATGTGGAGGTCTGAAAACAACTTTCAGGGGCCAGTTCTCTCCTACCATATGGAGCTTGGTGGTCAACCTAGGCCTCCAGTAAGTACCTTTACTCACTGAGCAGTCCCGCTGACCCACAGCTACAAATCTCATAAAGGGTAATGCTGGGAAGAATCTCAGAGCTAATCAGTGCTTTCTCAGTCAGCTCAGAGGCTACGTGACCTAGCCAAAGTCACCAGGAACAGTAGGTTGGGCAGGGACGGGGCTTCTTCACCGGGCGGTAGAGCAGCGGCCTGCCATGCCTGAGGCTCTAGGTTCAATCACCAGTGACATGGAACGAAAATGAGACAGAAATGATAAACAAAAGCCAGTCTTTAGTGTCTTTGGCACCAGGCTATGAACTGTGGTGGAAGCGTCCAAGATGTGTCTTAAACAAGATGTTCTCAAACAGGTAGTCCTAGATGCCTGGATGCTTCCTCACACAGGAGCCGTGTAGTGGGGTGGATGAGGAGACACAAATCAAGGAACGGGGCTCTCCCATGCCTCACAGAATCTGTTTTCTGTGCACTCTTACTTTTCTGGATGCCACTTCTGGAGAAGGATGATCTCTATTTCAGAAGGGCCTTTTTGAGTCATCTTTACCCATTTTTAATTCATTTTAGTGGCCTTACAACCATATTTTAAAGTCACTCAGATCACTGTGTGGGTCAGAAATAATTCTACAGGACTTCATATTGCCAACCCTAGAGATCTTTTCATGAAATTAAGCTTGTTACACTCCCAGTATCAAACATGCAGGAAGAGTTCTTGGCTGGACTGGGATGCAGGGAAGGCGTCTCCCTGGAGGGAGCACAGAGGAAGGCTGACATACTTGCTGAGGACCCCTCTGCTGTAGAAAGCACTTCAGATTATGTGGCTTTACTTCACCACAGTGTACAGCTGCAGCCACTGTCTCTGTGGTATGTGAGGTGGAGCAGGCACTGGACAGCCCTCTCACTCTCCCGCCTCTGCGGGACTGCCTGTGCATAGCACCGAAGTCTGAACAGACTCCAGTACTCAGCCTCCAATTCCATATCCCAGATAACACAAAACGATGTTTGAAACTTCACGCAATCCACAATTATTCTGGATTTCTTTTAGGATTTTTGTGAAAGAGTAGCTGGGGTGGAGCCCAGGGCCTTACACACACTGGGCCAACATTCTACCAAGAGCTCCATGCCCAGTCCTTAGAATTTTTATGCAGTTACAAAGCAAATAATTTTCAAGTAAGTGACTTTTATTTTTTTTCCTCTGACATTTCACAGTCAATTTCTATATAACTTCACACTGTCTTAAAAGAATTCACATTTGGTAAATAGTCTCTAACCTAAAGAGGTTGTGGCTGAAAAACCACTTAACTATATGTGCAAGAGTAACGTGTGTGCTGAAGGAATCATACTAGAGAAGAAGTCAGACAATACTATAATCAATAAAACAGTGTAGTAAATTACAAACGTTAAATCCTATAACCAATTCAATCAGGAACCTTTCCAAATGTGTTCCAGTATCGCCAATCCAACCTGACAAAGGTTCTCCTATGGGCTGGACTGAGCTAAACTTCTCACAGCCCTGCACAATGCTTCAGAAGGACTTAGAGCATGCACCACTAAGGCCATGGCTACTTACAGCTTTGGGCAACCAATGGAGATCTTTCCGGTCCACTCCAGGCTTCCTCCAAATGCTGGTCTAGCCTCTGACCTCAAAGGGTCGCTCCTTCTAAGATCTAGCTTCTCTGCTGGAGTCCATCTGCTTCCAGCTCCACCAGGAAGAGAGCCCTGTGCTAACAGCCTAGGGACTTGCAGCCAGGGCTCTAAGATCACGGAGGAGCAGTGACTGGGGGTGCTAACCCTCCCTGCCACTCAGCAGCGAAGATCTATGGTGGCTTTCATCATCTTTTATGGGGACAAGAAGGAAAATGAAAACCCGTATCTAGGAGGAAGAGTCCAAGAGGCTTACAGCTCCACTGAGGGCTTTTCCAATGGAGTACATTTGGTTCTCAGCAAGTGCTTCCAGCCTTCTGATGTTCGGTAAAACTTGTGGCTGGTGCCCAGGCTGCTCTGAATGCACCTGTCTCTACAGCATTCCTGCCAAACAGTGTGCCAAAAAAGGAAGCTTCCTAGTGGAGTGAGAGTGGAGCAGCTACGCTACCACACGGATTCAGGAAAGCATATCACAAGGAGCTGAGTCTGCCCAGGGACACTGGCTCTGATTTGGGGAACTCTTTCAGAAAGCAAACAGCAGGTAATAATTCTGTGTTGACCAGAGAGTAGAGAGATTTTACCAAGTTGATTATTTTTTCAACCAGTCATATCCAAATCATATGTCTTCATGAACACAGTAGGGTCAACCTGAGTCTTACAATTTTTAAACTATGTTAGAATTACAACCAACTCCCTAACAAATGTGACCCTAACTCTGGACCTAGTAAAGCCCCATGAACATTCTCTCTGCAGAAAGATGCTGGTCATGAAAGCAAGTTAATTTGTGAAAAACAAAGCTTTTCAGGAGGATGAAGACTGTAAACAAGCGGATACAATCCTTTTGAGTCTTTACTGTTTAGACTTTAGTTACCAGCACAGGGAAGCTAATAAGAATGTGTCTCACATTCTCCGTCCTAAGTCCAGCCTCTGAGAGGGACACCACACCTCGGCTCTCCTGCCACATCTAACACAAGACACAGGACCTCCACAGTGGCTCCCCATCACCACAGGGGATGGGTGAGAACTCAGATGTGAACAGGGAAGGATCCTTCCCGACTCCGTGGCCTTGTTCTAACCTCAGGGTTTTCTTTAATTCAAAAGTTCTAAGCACAGTCCCCTTCCCTCCTACAACAGCTGGGTGAGGTACAGACAAGAGACAGCAGAGGAAACTTAGGCCAGACTCTGAGGACCCACCAAAGCCATCTCAAGCTTTTGATTGTGTTAATGTTGATGGTGGCTTGTTTTTAATCTTTTTTTTTTTTTTTTTGGTTTGTCGAGACAGGGTTTCTCTGTGTAGCTTTGCACCTTTCCTGGAACTCACTTGGTAGTCCAGGATGGCCTCGAACTCACAGAGATCCACCTGGCTCTGCCTCCCGAGTGCTGGGATTAAAGGCATGCGCCACCACTGCCCCGGCTTGTTTTTAATCTTATATTCATTTATGTATCGTGCATGTGTGTGTGTGTGTGTGTGGATGTGTGTGCGTGTGTGCGTGTGCGCATGTGTGTACGTGTGTGCACAGGATGGACAAACCACAGTGTCTGTTCTCTCCTTCCACCGTGTGGGTTCAGGGATCGAATTCAGGTCATCTGGCTTGGCAGCAAGCACGTACTCACTGAGCCATCTTGCGGTCCTGTCTCAGGCTTTTTAGATATAAGACAGGTTGTGCTATTTCAAGCATGAATTAACAAAACTTTCCAGCTAGTGACAAAAAATGTTGGCTTCTCTGACCCTTTAATCAAAAAAGCAATTCATCAACTACAATTCCAGATGGTACTAAACCCAAGTCTATATTTTAAAAATCTGAAGTATTTGCCCACTTGTGTGAGATCTGGTGTGTGATCAGTGTGAGTCTGATGGCTCTGCCCTTTCTCCTTTAACTTTCAAGTGTAAGACACAAAGCCTGACGTGATGAAATGCTTGCACCCAGGCACAACCTGTGCCCAAAGCATTTCAGGTTTCGCCCAACTGGCATGATGCCCGGTAGAAGACAAACACAGTCTCTTATTTTTCTCTGTGACTAAGATACTTGAGGGAGGGCCAAGAAGGATCTTTAGGTCACCTACTCCTTGGTTTGACAAGTGTACACTCATCCATAGCACTGTACCTTGGATCATGGATAGTGAGTGGGAAGCTGGAAGAGACCCACACAGTCATCTTTCCTGCAGGCTAAGGAAAAGGGACTCACAGATACTCCAACTGGAGGTCCTCAGAGGAACATAAATGCACTTAACCTGTGCATAAACCACAGATTAAGACGGCAGCCAGGAGCTGGCACGTAGCTTTGTGAGTGAGTTTAGAAAGAAAAGCTCTTAAACAGGCTGTGGAAACCAAGTGTAGGTAGTAATAGCAAAAGAGTTAAAAGAACCACTCAAATAAATGAGAAACACCTCTGTGCTATATGTCTGGGTGATCAGACAATGCATCTAGGTCACTGCCTGAAGTACTGGACCCAGACGTTAGTGATGCCTGCAACTTGGCCCACGCCTGAGGTGCCCTGCTCCTGGTGGCCTCTATAAACATCCGGGTTTGCTCCTTCAGCTGGTCGAGCTCCACCTGGGTTGCTTGGTTTTGACGAATCAGCTCCTTGGTTTTCAAAGTGATTTCCAGCAAGCCGGACTTGTGGAGGACCACTAAGGTGTTCTGGAAGCGCCTGTGCTTGCTCTGCCTCTGCTCCGCACAGATGTCTGGGCTGCGGCAGAGCTGCTCGGCGGCCCACAGCGGTGAGCTGTAACTGGCCGACAGTGGCGAGAGCGGGGAGCTGCTCTCTAAGCCATGCAGAGTGCTGTCCGATGCACACACAGGACTGGCAGGCGAAGCAAAGGTCAGACTGGGAGCTTTAGCCACATGACTGCTGGACACAGGCTGAAGGGTCTGTGGACTCCCACCAGCCCCCAGGGAGGGCACTCCTTGCAGAGCCGAGTCCTCGGTGAGTTTGGAGCTGGGTGGGGCTGGGGTGGAAGGACTGGAAAGCACAGGGCCAGTCTTGGCTGGCTCGCTGGAAGACAGGCCTGGCCCCAGTCTCTCGGTGCAGATTTTCTTCGGTAGCCCACCTGCTCCTCTTTCTTCTGAGCTGAGGGAAAGGCTCCTTTTGCCTGGGTGGGGGGCTATTTTGGTGTAAGAGTTTAGAATGGGCAAGTAGTTTCTGGAGTCTGACTTTTTCTCACCAGTCTGGCACGGGCTGACGGGAGACGGCACCGGAGGATGAAGGACAAAGAGCTGGGGCTGTGCTGAGATCAGCTCAAAGGAGGGCCGGACAGTCCAGGACTGCAGCTGGGATGAACTGCTGCCCTGCAGACAAAGGAGAAGAGCAGCTGCATTCAGGACGGAGGAGTGCAGCCCCCAGCTTCCACCCCAGCAAAGCAGGCGGGCACTCAGCTACAACTGCTTCCGGTGCCGGGCTTCCCGCATGCACAGGGAGCCCTTGCTGAGAACTGGAAGAAGGGGCCTGAAATCCACTTATATCTGGTATCATACCATAAAACAAGAGAAAAACAAAACTAAAAACAAACACAAAAACGTTTTCCTAAGAGAAACTTGAGGAAATGTTTTAAATTCTGTCTCCGTGTGTACCTGTGCATGGGTAGGTGCACGTGAGTGCAGCTGGCCATGGTACCAGTGTCAGACCCCCTGCAGACGGAGTTACAGGTGGTGTGAGCAGTCCAATATGGGCGCTGGGACCAAACGTGGGTCCTCAGGAAGAATAAGTGTTCCTAACTACTGAGCTACCTCTCCAGCCCTGAACTATCTGTTTCTAATCAAGGCCATCACTCAGAAAGAGAAACTGGAGGTAGATGAAATAACAGCACAGTCACGGTACAACAGTGGCGACAGGAACAGAGAGTACAACTTCCTGGCCAGAGCCAGAGCTGCTAAGCTCAGGCTGGGCCTGGACTCAGCTGCTCGAGTGCTTGCCCAGCATGCCTGGAAGCCTTTACTGGACCCCATCATCGCATGAGACCTGGCATGGTGGCAGATACCTATCATCTTGGCATTCAGGAAGTACAAGCAGGAGCATCGAGAGATCAAATCCATCCTCAGCTACATGAGGATTTCAAGATCAGCCTGGGCTACTGGAGACCCTGTCTCAAAACCCCAAAACTAAACCAACCCCGGAAGAGGCTAGCTTGTCACTGAGCTTCCTAGCGCCTGACCAGACTAGCAGCCTGCCAGCTGTCCGTGTCCCTCTGCTGGAAAAGCCTCCTCACTCCTGCACATGGCTTGTTAACAAGGCCACAGAGCAACAAGAAAGGCAAAGAGGAGAGAGGGCCAGCCAGGAGGAGAGGCCCTCACAGGCAGGGCAGCACTAGCAGGCAGACAGCTCCCTGGGGCTGCATCCCATCTCTGTGCTCTTTCCTTTCAGTGAGGAGAACCGACATTCCTGCTGAGATGGATCTACCAAGCAAAATGTTCAAATGATTGTTCAGAATTCACCAGCGGCCCACCTTGCTGACCTCAGTGTGTGTTCTGCAGAAGTGACCAGGCAGTGTTCACACACGACACTAGTATCATGTCATAGCCATGTTCTTTTAACCTCTGGCTAAGATGGGAAGGCCAACACTAAAACTATATTTTCAATATACCTTGTCAATGCAAGAACTCTATTTTCAGAGTAAATTACTATAAGTTTAACTGTTGTTTGACTTAAATCACTTTTCCATTCCTTAAACTTCGCTATTAGAACTTAACCAAGTTTTTATGAATGAGTTCTCAGTCTCAAATCCTGTAAGCTAACTAATATCTGCAGGCACTGATGTTTCCTATCTAGATAATAACCACATAACGGACATGGTTCTGTGCTAGAGCCCAGTCCAGACTACTCACAGCTTTACAGTCGGCAGTGAGGACCCTGCTGCAGCTCTCAGCCCCAGAGCTGCCCTGTCATTAGCTGCGGCTCCAGCCTAGAAACGGCCTCTGCCACTGCAGCAAAGACGTCCTTCCTGCTCCGCTTGTTTGTCTGAACTCTGTCTTGGGCACAGTGTCGTCTTATGCATCCCAGGCTGCCCTCAGACTTGCAATCCTCCTGCCTCCGTGTCTCCAGGGCTGAGATGTACTACCATGCAGGCTTACAAATGTGTCTTATACTCCTAAATTCCCAAATCAATTCAAATTAAAGAAGAGGTTCCGAGGGCTGTGATGTAGTGCAATGGTGTGTGTTTGCCTAACATACATAGGCCTTGGCTTCAGTGCTCAGAACTAAAAAAGAAAAAAACCTTTTGGTTCTCCCCTAAACTCTGCCTTGAGTTAGAATGCACCGCTGAAGTGACTTTTTGGTTTGGTTCCATTATACATTACTACAGCAGGTCAAGGTCCCTTTGAAACTAGAAATACAAAGATAAAATAGTGAGAACATAAGTCCTGGCTCATGCATATACTTCTAATTTTTGTTTTTAGCTCGCGCTCTCCCCTCCCCACTCCCCCACCCCCTATCCCCACCCCCCATGTATACATCAGTAGAAGTATGTGTACATATGAGCTCAGGTGTCCTCAGGTCAGAGGAAGGCATGGTAGAGTATTTGCATAACACACATAAACACACACAATTTAAAAAATAAATCTTAAAGAAAAAAATTTAAAGCAGAAAACAAACAAATAAAACCAAACAGCATCAGTAGTTGAAAGGTAACATCCTCTCCCAGGTGGAAGGTCCACATCAGTGTGGCTCTAGTGTGTTTCTGAAATCTCTTCCTGCAAAGTGGAAATGTCTGCACTCTGTAAAGACTCTGGCCCCACTGGTCCTCCTCACCTGCTTGACCAGCACATTCTTCATGACCACCATGGGGGACAGTGCAGGGAAGGCACTGTTTGCAGCTTTGGAGCTTGGCCTCGGCCTGTCCTCTCGGCTCCAGCCCAAGGCACTCAGCATGTCCTCTGACTCCATCTGCTCTGCGGAGCTCAAGCATTCTGAGCTCCCATCTGGTGGGCAGAAAAATGGTCAGTTCACGTGGGCTCTAGGCTAACAGCTCATAACCCAGCCATGGACGCCCTAAAATAGAAAGGAACATCTTTGATGGGTGTTTCTGTGAGTTTTCTGAGGTGGAAATTTCACTGGCTATTCAAACCATCCCTCCTGCTGGGCTTGATTTTCTCCAAATCCTTAGGAGAGCCCCAATCAGTCAGGGTTCCTGTGAAAGCACTCATCCCCAGATCACATGAAGAAAAGAGCTTACTTTCATTTTATTTTATTATTTTCACAGCTTTGTTGTTGTTGTTACATTCTGCATGTGTGGGGACGGAGGGATGTGCGTGCCCGGCTGCACATGTGGAGGACAGAGGACAACCTGTGCGAGTCAGTTCTCTGCTACCAGGTTCTGAGCCTTAGTGAGAAGTGACTTTACCTGCAGAGCCCTCTCACCAGAGCTAGGTAATTACTTTCCAAATCTGTTGTTAAGAAGTGGGGAGAAAGTGTGATCCCAGGCAGAGTTAAGATCTTTAGAGACTCTAGAAACCACAAGATACAATCAAAGTAAAAAAACAAAGCCAATTAAAATCTATATCCATTAGAATGAAAAGCCTTGTCCTGAGTTTCTGATTGAGTGGTTAGTGCTAACTGTCTGGAGAATCTACACTAGAATCTACACTGGCCTATGAGACAAACCCCCAGGCATACCTGTGAAGGATTATTTAGATCAAGTTTAGCTCTCAGAATGTCAGTGAGGGATTGCCTCAATTAGCTTAATTGATGTGGAAAGACTCAGCTAGAGGCAGGACCACTCCCTGGGCAGGGATCCTCGTGTGTAGAGAAGGGAGTGAGCTGAGCACCCACGTTCCTTGCTCTCTTCTTCCTGACTGTGGGTAAGCTAAGAAACTGCCTCAAGTTCCCACTGCCTTGACTTCCCTGCCATGACGAACTTTCAACTGTGAGCTGAAATAAACGCTTTTCCCGTAAGCTGCTTTTGTCTTGAGTATTTACTTTATCACAAGATGAACCCACACAGTTTGTTGTCCCAACAAAGGGAAGAGGTGCCCAAACACTGAGGGACAGGGTGTCTGTGGTTGATATATTGTGCACCCCAATAAACTTATCTGGGGTCAGAGAACAGAACAATCACAATATTAAACATAGGTTTAGGCAGTAGTAGCACACGCCTTTAATCCTAGCACTCCAGAGGCAGAGATCGTCTGGATCTCTGTGAGTTCAAAGCCACATTGGAAACAGCCAGGCATGGTGACTCACGCCTTTAATCTCAGGAAGTGATGGCACGAAGCAGAAAGGTATATAAGGTGTGAGGACCAGGAACTAGCCTGGTTAAGCTTTTAGACTTTTAGCAGCAGTTCAGCTGAGATCCATTCGGATGAGGACACAGAGGTTTCCAGTTTGAGAAAACAGGATCGGCTGAGAAGTTGGCAAGGTGAGGTTAGCTGTGGCCTGTTCTGTTTCTCTGATCTTTCAGCGTTCACCCCAATACCTGGCTCCAGGTTTGTTTTTTTGTTTTGTTTTGTTTTGGTTGTTGTTGTTTTGTTTTTTGTTTTTTTGTTTTTTTGAGACAAGGTTTCTCTGTGTAGTTTTGGAGCCTGTCCTGGATCCCGCTCTGTAGACCAGGCTGGTCTCGAACTCACAGAGATCCACCTGGCTCTGCCTCCCGAGTGCTGGGATTAAAGGCGTGTATACCACCGCCCAATGGGTTTGTTTTTATTAATAAGACCTTCTAAGATTCGTGCTACAGGTATCAGTGAGACAAGGGCACATTTAACTCACTGGCCAAATTTGAGACAATGCAGGGAACAGAAATATGCGGTTAACGGACCAGCAGACTGAATTACTAAAGAATTCTACAAATCCAGGGTGATAAGTCAAAAAGGGACCAGAAGAAGGAAAATGCTTCTCAACCAAGAGGTTCAGTGACTGGGCAAAATGACAGCATTAGTAGATCACAACTTTTAAATCGCTAGGGTGGTAACCAGTTCAAGTGAGAGTGTCAATAGATGCTAAAACACTAGTCAAGAGTTTGCAGGAGGGGGCTAGGGAGATGGCTCAGTGGTTATTGCTGTGGGATGGTCTGTATGTCAAATTGCTCTGATTGGTCAATAAATAAAACACTGATTGGCCAGTAGCCAGGCAGGAAGTATAGGCGGGACTAACAGAGAGGAAAACAGAGAAAACAGGAAGGTGGAGGGAGTCACTGCCTGCCACAGCCATGACAAGCAGCATGTGAAGACTCTGGTAAGCCACAAGCCACGTGGCAAGGTATAGATTAATGGAAATGGATTAATTTAAGCTATAAGAACAGTTAGCAAGAAGCCTGCCACGGCCATACAGTTTGTAAGCAATGTAAGTCTCTGTGTTTACTTGGTCGGGTCTGAGCGGCTGTGGGACTGGCAGGTGAGAGAGATTTGTCCTGACTGTGGGCCAGGCAGGAAAACTCTAGCTACAGGTTATGAGCACTCTCTGCTGTTCTAAAGGTCCTGAGTTCAATTCTCAGCACCTACATGGCAACTCACAACTGCCTGACGCCCTCTTCTCTTCTGGTGTGCAGATGTATATGCTGACAAAGTACCCATATGAATGAATGAATAAATAAATCTTTAAAAAAAAAAAAAAAGGGGAGAGAGTTTGCAGGAAGGAAGATGGTATAGTGGTGCCTGCCTAAAATCCCAGCACTTGGAGGCTAAGTTACCCACACAAGCCAAAAACTCACTCTGTAACCCAGGCAATTGACCTTGTCATTCACCTGCCTCGGCCTTCCTAGAACCTAGGATTCTAGACATGTGCCACCAGGCCCAAATAAAAGATTATCTTTACAATAAAGAAATCTGGTACACAGTACCTTTTAACCAAGGCATCAGAGTATCATCAAAAATGAGAACAGGGGGGCTGGAGAGGTGGCTCAGCAGTTAAAAGCACTTACAGAGGACCCAGGTTCAGTTCCCAGTCCCCACTTCAGGTGACTAACAACCTCCCATAACTCCAATTCCAGGGGATCTGATGCCCTCTGCTGCCCCATAGGCACCTGCATGCAAGTAGTGCACGAACTCATGAAGACACATACATACAAATAAATGTATCTTTAAAAAAAGAAAAAAATGAGACTAACTTAAGAGTTTCCTTGTGTTTTGGAAAATATACAACATCAACAATGCAGTGTTCTAATGATTCCAAAAATGTGGAAGCTATAAAACTACAGTTCTGTCTTGTTCAAAGATGTCAGTGTCATAAAGGAAAGAAAAGATAGGAAAGCTATCCTGGATTAAATAATATTAAAAAGGCAGGCCATCTACATAGAATGCATGTTTCTCAATGGGATCCTTGATCCAAAAAAAAGACAATGGCAAATAGCTATAAGGACATTACTGGGACAATGGAAAAAATCCAAATAGATTGTAGTTAGAGAGAATATTCATTCATTTTTCTTTAGGTTTGAAATTTCTCAAAATAAATTTGGAAAAATAATTAAAATAGAAAATATTATCCATTTTGGACTTGCAAATTTTACTGAAGTCCTTCTCAGGCAGCCTTTTGGCTAAGATCAAGTAAGAATTTCATTATATCCAAGGTAACTGGAGTAATTCAGGCAGCGACCACGTCCCTGGAATCTAGCCCCAAGAGTGATCAGCATTCACTGGGACCACCTTCTGAAAGAGGATTGAGGGTGGTCATTTTTAATATCACTCTGTGTCCGAAATAGTGCAGTACTTATTAAAACAACTAGCCTGACAAAGACTTTAGAAGATGGAGCTAAATGGCAGTGGTCCTGGGAATTCTAAACAGAAGGACTGTGGGTAAAGTGTGTTTTCTTCTTGACTCCCACAAGCGTCTAAACTTTTACTATGAGCACACATTACCTTTATGATCCAGAAACAGATCAACAGCAAATGTGATATTCAAAGAGAAAAAAGCCCTTCAGTGGTTTCTAGACCTTTGGCCTTGTTTTATAGGCCCCACTTTCCAGACCCTTCCCCAGCCTCAGTACCAGAATCTCTAAGAGGGTCTAGGAATCTAAATCTTTAACAGATGTTTCTGATGGGTTTCATGGTGAGACAAGCCCAGTAAGGAAATTCATTAAGTGAAGGGATCCCAATTGCTACAGGCTGGCGCACCCTTCCCTGGACTGTCCTGGTCCTGGGCAGACACTAATTCCTCTGTTCTAATCCCCTGGGTCAGTGCTGTCCCTCTCTGAGTAATACTCTATTTATAATTGAGCTTCTCATTCAGCATGCCTACGAGATGAAAACGTACCAATCTAAGAAGGGGAGAGTCCTAGACTTCCTAACAGCAGCAATTCCCAGTGTAAGTGAGTAAATCAGTAACAGGCCTGGATTGTCTCTGGAGCCTGGGTAATACCTATAAATCTTTCCCTAGAAAAAGCTCCATTCCCAGGATAGTAAGCCCGACTCGCTGGCATCATCCTGAGACTCTCCTGGGACATTAATGTTGGCATTAATTCAATATTTAGAGTAGTTCAAGCCACTCCCCGCAGCCCTAGACATAAGAGCTTCAGCACGAAGTTAAGAGGCTGAGGGGGGGATGCAGTCAGCCCTTCTGGGGAAGACTCTGGACAGCTACCAATGAAAGCTGCTCTACTACCAGTCTTCTTATTTTTTAATAACTTATTTATTTTTATTTTATATGCACCGGTGTTTTGCCTGTATCTATGTCTGTGTGAGGGTATCCTAAAACTAGAGTTACAGACAGTTGTGAGCTGCCATGTGGGTGCTGGGAATTGAACCCCGGTCCTCTGGAAGGGGCAGCCAGTGCTCTTAACCACTGAGCCATCTCTTCAGCTTTTTTAAAATTTTTTTTAAAGATTGGTTTTTTGATCCCACATGTGGTGGTGGATGCCTTTAACCCTGGCACGTGGGAGGTGGAAGCAGGAGGATCACTGTGAGTTCAAAGCCAGCCTGGTCTACATAGTGAGATCCAGGACAGCCAGGGCTACATAGACAGGCCCTGTCTCAAATAATAATAATGATGATGACAATGATGATATGATAATAAATAAAAGATTTGGTTTGGGGGGGAGGGTGTTTGTTTGATTTTTATTTTTTGAGATAGGGCCTCATCATGTAGCCCTAACTGGATTGGAACTCACTATGTAGACCATACTGGCTTCAGACTCACAGAGATCCACCTGTCTCTGCCTCACAAGTCCTGGGATTAAAAGCATATCTACCATACATGCTCACGGATTTGTTTATCTTCTTTTATGTATATGTGTGTGCCTGTTTCTCTGTCTGTATATACATGTGCATGTACACGCAAGTGCCCTCATGCCCTCTGCAGAAGCAGCAAGTGCTCTTAACTGCTGAGCCATCCCTCCAGCCTCCTGTTCTACTTTCTTATGTCTAATGGAGTTTACAGTTGGCCCAGGTGGCTCACAGTCCAAACACAAAGTGTACAGTTATTAGGAAAAACTGTTAGGAGGGGACTTTTTTAAGTATAGCAAAATTACTTTCTAGGCAAGTGTTATCTTAACAAATGACAGTCACTTACCACATAAACACGGTTCAGCCAATGACAGACCACATTTGAGATGATGACTATATCATAGAGCCTAAGTATGTAATAGGCTATATCATCTAGGTTTATGAAAGTACACCCTAGTGTTCCTTAAGGACCAATTTCTCATTATATAATACATGACCACATTACTTTTAACTGACCTTCACACTGTTTCATGGCAACAAGATACAGTAGTATTTTTCTTTTTCCCTGCCATGAAAAAGGAGTTAATGCAACAGAATCCTGAGTATTTTTAAAAACACTTGTCTTTGAGACAGGATCTCATGTAATTCATATTGGCCTTGAACTCGTATGCAGCTAAGGATGACCTTGAACTTCTGACCCTCCTGTTTCTACTTTCCAGTGCTGGGATTACGGCCAGTTTTATGAGTACTGGGGATCCAACCCACGGCTTCCTGCATACGAGGCAAACAGTCCACAACTGAACTACATTTCCAGTCCATGTTCAAATATTTTTTCTAGTAACTACAGTTTGAAATGGAAGATTGAGAGTTTAAAGTCTAAATTGAAAAGGAAAATTACTTTTTCAGAACTAACCTATGGTGCCATAAGATACCAGAATCACCAACCACCACCCCTTGGTTTCAGAATTGCTATTTTGAAGAGCTCAGATAGTTATTTATCTTGTATATGAAAGCTTCTTGTGCTTCTTATACTAATGAGCTTCAGGGAGGAATGTTTCCATTCATATTATGGAGCAGAAGGCAGAAGAGGAAGATATTGTTAACCTGAAAAGCCGGAGTCCTTGTCTGAGTCGGCAGCCACCACACCGAGCGGCCGAGTGACTCTTTTATTCTCTGTGCCTCGGCCTGGCTTGGCAGAGAGTCTTCGAGGGCTCTCTCTGGATGGCATTTTCCTCTCCATGTTAGCGGGCTGGAAGCTGGGTCACAGACAGTCTTTGCATGTGGATTGCTCTATGAAAAACAACAAGGACGTAAGAAGTCATCACCTGGAGAGTGAACCAGGCGAGCCAAATGGTGAAGAAAGTGAGGGCAAAGACTGCCAGCCTCACCCACTTCAGCTACTCCGTCTCCGCAGTCTCAGCTGACCAAGCTTCAGGTTTACTACACAGAACAGTTCCATCCAAAGGAGGCTCCCCACCCCTTCTGTCCTCTAATTTCATTGCGAGTCAAGGCACACAAACCATGTTCAGTGGAAGCTTTGTGAACAGCTAACAAAGGGACATTTGATTAGCCTTTTTGGTAACCAAATAAACTTGCCCTCCTCCCTGAGGAGAAAAGAGGTAACAGCACCCAGCAAGGCGAGCTTTCCTAGCAGGATGGTGATATACTGCCACCACTCACAGTCCGGGGTGTCTCAAATAAACCTCTCAGTTCTCAAAATGAAGTACTGAGCATACACACATACTACTTCAAAAGACTTTTTTACATTTATTCTAGGTACTTTTGTGTACGTGTATACATTGGCATGAACACACATGTGCCATGACACATGTGTGGAGGTCAAAGGACAACTTGCAGGAATTGGTTCGGCCTCCACCTTGTGGGTCCTCAAACTCAGGTTGTCAGGCGGCAAGCACCTTTACCTGCTGAAGTATCTCACTGGCCTTCTATGCTACTTTTTAACATAAAACAATACAAACACACACACACACACACACACACACACACACACACACACACACACACAAAGGGGGCTAGAGAGATGGCTCAGCAGTTAAAAGCACTGGCTGCTCTTCCAGAGGACCTGGGTTCAATTCTCAGCACCCACATGGAAGCTCACAACTCTCTGTGACTCCAGTTCCAGAGGATCTGACACCTTCACACCAATTCTCATAAAATAAAAGTTAAACGAATTTTTTTTAAACCACAAAACTTTTACAGCCCTGAAGGTATAGGTCAGTGGTGGAATGCTTACTTAGTATAAGTTTGATCACAACAAAAGAGCAAAAACTTTTATGTATAAACATGTTTAAGAAGTGTTTATGGGGGGTGGGCTGGGAAGATGGCTCAGCAGTTAGGAGCAGTTTTGATTCCCAGCACCCACATGGTGGTTCACAACAACTCTAATCCTAGAGGATCCAATGCCCTGTGGGTACTAGGCACACAAGTGGTATGTATACAGACATACAAGCAAACAAAACACCCAGGACAGACAGGCCCTGCAACCGCACATGCTGGACAGACTGTGGATGTTAACTAAGGCGCAGCGGGAGTGGTGGCACACTCCAGAACTCAGGAGGCAAAGTCAGGGGGACCTCTTGGTCTATAGAGTGAGTTTTTGGCCAGCCAGGGCTACCTAGCCAGATCCTGTCTTTCAACAACAAAAACAAGAGACACTTTGGGGATAAAAAAAAATAGGGTGCCACCTAGGAAAACAGTAAAATAAATTTTAAAAGTGTAAGAGCTTATATTGCATAAGGATATACAACATTTATTGCTGTTAATGTTATTCTTGAGTTTCACAATATCCTCCTCAGTTGTAATTCATTTTGCAATGAAGCTCAGATGCATTACATTCAGTCACATGTCTACATAAAAAACATGTATCAATGCTCCTATAAACTGGGCATTGTGCTAGACTGAGGATACAGAGGGAAGAGCATAACTGTGTTAGTATCCTTCCTGCAGCTTGTGAGCTAGAGAGGAACAGACATTAACCAAGGATTCATACAGTTGATGATCATGTTGACAAGAGCTTTGAAAAAGTGAGGCTATGGTCTGTAGCACCAGGAAAAGTGCCATGAGGCTGGAATCTGGAGGCTGAGGAGTCAGCAGGCATTAGTGTGTTCAAAGACTACAGGTGAGCTGTTGCAATGTGTTCCAGGCCAACGTGAAGGCTGCAGGGAGAAAGAACTTGGCACACTCCGAAGGAAATGGCCAGGCTGGCCAGAGCAGATTGCAGGAGCAGAAGACCATGTACTGACAATGGGGTGGGGGTGAGGAGGGAGAGCAGACACCCAGGACAGACAGGCCCTGCAACCGCACATGCTGGACAGACTGTGGATGTTAACTAAGGCGCAGCGGGAGTGGTGGCACACTCCAGAACTCAGGAGGCAAAGTCAGGGGGACCTCTTGGTCTATAGAGTGAGTTTTTGGCCAGCCAGGGCTACCTAGCCAGATCCTGTCTTTCAACAACAAAAACAAGAGACACTTTGGGGATAAAAAAAAACAGGGTGCCACCTAGGAAAACAGTAATAATGAAACTGGGTAGGCATAAGCAAACCCAGAGATGCTTTACTTCACGATCCACTCAGGACTCCACGCACTTCGGCCAAGCAGCACTGTCCCTGGAATATCCTGAAGTCCCATACCTGAACATTTCTGGTAGTTCAGGACCTAGTGAACTAGAGGGAAGACTCATGGGAAATGAGACAGGAGACTCATGCTTTGGTGCACTCTTGAGTACCCCTTCCTCACATATGTACAGACCAGTGGTTCTCAACACGTGAGTCGTGACCCCTTTGGGGGTCAAATGGCCCTTTCACAGGTTTGCATATCAGATACCCTGTGTATCAGATATTTACGTTACGATTCATAACAGCAGCAAAATTAGAGTTATGAAGTAGCAACAAAAATAACTATGGTTGGAGGTTACCACAGCATGAGGAACTGTATTAAAGGGTCCCAGCACTGGGACAGCTGAGACCACTGTTCCAGACAACTGCAGTGGACTAAGGACACACACAGATCGGATGGGAGGAAACGCTCAACGCCATTCCAAGTAGAAGTCATCATGCCCCGCATACAACTCATTTAGGGAGGTTGATCAGCCCCACCCAGCTCAGGTCACATCACTCCCCCTCCACACAATGAGAAGAACGACACTGTCACAGGTAACAGAGCACTCTGCAAAGGCAATCCTGTTTAAAACGTAGACTAAAATGTAAAACTGTATATTAAAGCAGGAGCCTATGAAACTCAACAAATGCATAGAGTACAATTTTCCTAAAATAATACTGTTCCAAAGTGAACAGAGCCTTCTTTAAAATGAAACGAGATGTGGCTTCTGGATGGCATTCAGACTAAGGCAGGTCTGACCAGGCTGTTGATCCAGATTAGCAGGGCATGTCAGTTGCAACTAATTAAGAATCTGAGAAAACTTCACAATATCTTACTAAACATAGAGTATTTTACAGGCATTTTAGAGAAATTTAGAGAAAGCATCCCAACTTAGCCTTCTATGGTACTTGGACAAGACAATGAAAAGAGTTATCAAAATGTTAGTGCTGCCCGGCGGTGGTGGCACATGCCTTTAATCACAGCACTTGGGAGGTAGAGCCAGGCAGATCTCTGCGAGTTCGAGGCCAGCCTGGTCCACAGAGTGAGATCCAGGACAGGCACTAAAACTACACAGAGAAACCCTGTCTCGAAAAACCAAAAAAAAAAAAGTTAGTACTGTTGCTAAGTATCAAAATGTGAGTACTGTTACTAAAGCGCAGTCAGGGGAGCTATAGAAAAACACGTAGGAATTTACTCTGGTTCACAGAGAATTTACAGGATAATGTTGACTACAGAACCAAAATACTAAAACTTCGACAAATCTGTTAAATTCTAAAATTTGAGATCCTGGGGAATTGGTGGCAATTGGGAATAAAAATAACAAAACCCATACAACTGACTTTAGAATGGCCAAGTGTCTGCTTTGGATGCAAAAAACGTTTAAAAATATGAAAACCTCTCTTCTTGATAAAGTTCTGTTTAAACAGGAAAAAAGCCTTAACGTTCCAGCCGAGGAGGCCCATGTAGGAAGGTGCATGAGAGCTACACCCACCTCTCTTCTTTGGGAGGAAGTGGGCTGACACACACACACACAACACACCAGAGGAAACCCTAGGCAGAAAAACGGAGGGGGGGGGGGATTTCCCACTAGCACCCCTTAAGCCAAGAACCACACAAATAGCAAAACCTAAAAACTCAAGAAATCAAGAGGGTTTTATTTTCCCTCCTCGGTATTATTTTACAATAGAGTCAGATACAAGCATCTGAAAATGGGTGACATGGTCTTCACCTGCTCCCTCATCTCTCGGCTCCCCGAAGTCACTACCACTTTCTACACATCTCAGATTACCCTGCACTTCCCTCATTCTGCACGAGGACTTAACTAACACTCCCAAACAGGCAGAGCCAGCGACCCTAACTGGGCCTCATATGAATATACGGGTAACACACTATCCAAAAGGTTATCAAAGCGGGCAGTCTACAGTAAAATTCAAAATGGGAAGTGAGTCAACACAGAGGCTCATATAAACTGGTACAGGAAAACACTCTCGGAAGTACTCCGCAGCACCTGGTGCCTACTTCCATTTTTCACTCCTTACATTCGGGTCATTATTCATCTCTAGAAGCTCACAGTTGCTGGTTCTGTTTTTATTTTGTTTTCAATCTTTGCAACAGACTTGTAAGGTATTCAAGAGAATACCAAATTCTAACAAATCTCAGTCTGGCAGTCTCTGGAAGCCAAAGCAGTTTAGCAGTCACCAAAATACCTGAGTTCAGGTATTTTGACGGTTAAGGCTGCATTTCCAAACACATGATCTAACTTTCAGGTCTAGTCCAGTATACCCATTATTCTAAGATGGGACAAATATACCAACCAAATTAAAAGCTGGTGTGACCCACTATCTCTGGCGACCAAAGGGTTACAGGGAAAGGATCTGAAATGCAGCTTTTAGTGCTCTCCTTTTATAGCTACTTGGCGACATTCCTGAGAGCTCACGTTCCCTTTAAATGTCTCACGTGTACGACATGCGTGCGCAGAGGTGTGAGGTGAAGGCCCAAGCCAAGGCTCATATGGAATAAAGTGATAAGGTCATAGAAAGTAAAGCCTTTATCAGCCATAAAACCTTGAGTAACCCCAGTTACAAACGTATTAGTCCGTTTTCTCTGCAGCTGTTTCCTTCGGGTCCGCATGTTCAGAAATACCATTCCAGGAGAATGTGTATTGTAGTAGTGGAAAAACCGCACCTGCCTAAGTGTCCACTATTCATAGTCTCCTTCAACCTCCTTCCCATTCTCAAAACTGGCTGAAAAGGTCGTGTCCAAGATCCTGCCCTGTTCCACACGGTCACACCGTTTCCCATGACTCTCTCCATCCTTTAAAGGGGGGGGGGGGGGGCATGTGATTAGAGCACGTTCTCAGATCACTTTGAAAGGCGGGGGGCTCACACTAACAGTGCCCACCTACCCATTCGCACCAGCCCACAGGACATCTGCGCCAGGCAGCAGCATGCACACCCTCCAGGCATCAACTAGCCTGCCAACTCAACAGGGCAGAATTGGGCAGACCACAGGACTATGCTGTGACTGGCATACCACCAGTCTCCAGGGCAAATGCCCAGGCAATGCCTCCTGCCAGAACTTGGGCAATAAACAGAAGAGCTTGGCTCGGGCCTGGGTCCTGGGTCCAGATCAAAACTGCCCTACCCAGCCATTAACCACTGACTTCTTACTTGGCACTATCCACTTTCTTCCTCGCATCCCTATCCTTGGCACTACGCCTGGCTAGGGGGCCTAAAGTAGGGGACCGCGGGCCCCTGGAATAGACAGTGCACCTGTGTCTGGGCATAGCTGCTAAATGAAGGTGCTGGACACTCACCTGCCCTCACTCACTCGGTAAGCAGCCCTCATGCCCACCAACCAGTCCATTCCCAGACCCCTCTGCTCCTCCCGCAGGAGCCATGGTACCCAGGGCCAGGCCAGGGCACACGTGCCCTCAGGGACTCACACCACCGGCCCCTCACACAAGGCCCCATCCCTACACACCGTCTCTGCCTCACCCCAGATTCCCTTTCCCACGCGGGCCCGACCCTTGAAAGCAAACCAACCAAACAGAAGCCGGGGCTGGCGAGTCCCCCTGCTCCCAATATTTGGCGACCCCCGTCCCCCCCAAAGTCCTGCTTCCCCTTTGTGTCCACTTTGCTCTCCTTCCTCATCCACCTGCTCCCACCTGCTTTCTCGGTGATCCCAGTCCCAACCTGCCAGTGTCGCCATCCCAGTCGCCCCCCCCCCCGCCTCCCGTGCCCGGAGCCAAGCGAGCCCTGCCTCGCTCACCTAGGGCCAGGGTCGCCGCTCCACGACCAGCCCGGCGGGTCAGCTGGCGCATGCGCGAGCCGGGCCCCACGACTCCATGACAACCTGGTATTCGCCGGGTCTCTTTAGCGATCCCCCCCCCCCCCGCCCCCGGCCTCCCGCCCCTTGCTCCTCCCCCTCGCCTCCGCCGCGGCTTCCGCCGGTCACGTGACCCGGCTCCACGGAACCAGCACCATGGAGACTGCGCGCTGTGCTCCTAGAAGGGCACTTGGAGACCCGCCCTCTTTCCCCCCCCACCCCCACCCCACCCCGCTTCCGCTCTCTACGCCGGAAGACCTGCAGGTCGCCGCTCTCTCCGCAGCGGTGGTCCTCTCTATGGTCGGCGCCTGCGGCTCCGCCGCCATCTTGCCTGGCTCCTGGAGCTATTGTGTGGAGAGCAAGCCCTTGGGACTGGATTGTGAAGGCAGGGGTTAGTTAGTGGCTTGCAGCCACCTGGCGAGAGTCGGGATTCGTTCGGGGATCCTGACGGGAAGCTGCTCTCGGGGTGTGAGTGTCCCCCGCCCCCCCCGGACGCCGTTAGGGGTGGGGACCGGAACTGGTCGCGCCCGGCCTGGGGTGGCTGCGGCGCCCAGCGTGGGAGGACTCGCGCGGGCTGGCAGCCGGGCGCGGTGTCTCCCTGCGGCTCGCTCACGTTTTTGCCACGCCTGTCGCCTGGCTCGCTTTCCCCGTCAACCCTCCAGTCCGTGCACGAGGACCAGACGCAATCAGTATTTTAGTGGGGGTGATTTCATGCCGTTTGATGTCTGGCTCGCTTTGCCCCCCGGCAGGGGGAGATGTCAGCTTTTACAGACGACGTCCCCTGCCTGGCCCTGGGAAACGGCCGCTCCAACACCATGAAGGGCAAGGGGAGCACAAAATGAGGATAATCCCCAAGAGGAGTGCTTCACAACTAAAAAGTTGAAAGTTGGAAGCTGGTTCTGGAGCTGCCCTCGTTTGTCCAACCCAGTACTCCAGGAAGTGCTGTTAAAATTAAATAAAATGAGGCTATTACGGCTTCAGCCGCATTAGCGGCGTTACAAGAGCTCAGGGACCACATGCAGCTTAATGGCTGCTTTACTGGACAGCGAAGATTATCGCATGTTCTTGGCACCGCCGATAGTTAAATTGGACCTTGCGGATCTAGATGGCGAATAGTTCTGCACTGGTAATCCAAGCAATTTAAAGGTCATAGTTAATCACATTATTCATCCAGACACAGATAATGCTAATGTATTAGTGAGTATGAATGTACTTATTAGCATAAGCCCTCCCAACAAGTAATAGTTGAATGCCTACACCTAAGGCTGTTGTTTGGGAAATGGAGGAAACGAAAATGATGGTTAACCATTATCAAATCATTAACAGTCCTTAGCTTTACTTGCATTTTCTCAGGACGCCTCAACAATTGTATGGCGTAGGTGCTGTTATCCTTTGTTTATAAACCAGGGAACTGAAGTTTGTGCCCTGTAAGCCTGAGCTTAACAGGGAAGACATCCGGCCCCCAACTAAAACGATCTTTGCCTTCAAACACCTTAAAGATCAAACACATGAAATCGAAAATGGTCCAATAACCAACATGAGAGAATGTAAGTGCCAAAAAAAAAAAAAGTGAGCAAATCAATAAAAGCAAAGGAGGAAAAATTACTCAGCTTGAGTCATTGTTGAAAGAGGAAGAAACCAGGTAAAGCCTTAAGCACAGATAAAAGTCGATGTACAGTAATGGAGGTGGGATAGTGCATACAGGCAGAAAAGAATTAAGTGTGCAGAACCACGAGGAATGACTTTGTCTTGGACCTCAAACTGGGAAAGAGCCGGGCGGTGGTGGCGCACACCTTTAATCCCAGCACTCGGGAGGCAGAGCCAGGCGGAACTCTGTGAGTTCAAGGCCAGCCTAGTAGTCTCCAAAGCGAGTTCCAGGAAAGGCACAAAGCTACACAGAGAAACTCTGTCTCGAAAAACCAAAAAAAAAAAAAAAAAAAGGGAAAGAAAGTCGGATTCCCCTTACATATTAGCAGACAGCCATTCTGTATTAACTACTTGAATTTCAAACTAAAATCAGTGGTATTTATAGATATAGATTTATGATTATTTTACCCTATGATTCTATATGAAGAAGTCCTTGGAAGTAGATAATATTGTTAGGTAGCCAAATCATTAATTTTTTTTCTTCCTTTATTGATTTCCCAGGGTTGTAAATTGGCCCCTGGATGGATAGTTTCCTGGGGCCTGAGACCTTTAATCAGTGTTCTAAGATTCTTGGTTGGGCTGTGTGGAGGCCCAAAATTACTCAGGGGCAGAGAATCTGAGCTTGCTTTACCCTTCAGGGCTGCATAAGGGAATGATTTGACCATGGGCGTGGTTACAGGTGTTTGGAAGGGTCTGCACTTGGCTGTATCTAGCAAGGGGAAGGTCTTTTGCCTTGCCTCTTGGCATTGTTATAAAAAGCCCTTTTGAATAAAGTTCTGGGCCTGTGGATTTTGATCCAGGTCCTCCCGAAACTGTCCTGTGTTTCTGTCTTTCTTCTCATCTCTGTCTATCATTCTACCTAATATTTCTTTTCCCTCTCTCCTCAAAGAGTACCCAGGGAAAAGTGGGGACAGTTCCCCCACAGCCAAGGTCCCTGCAATGAAGAGTAGATTTTGAAGCATGATTCTTCTGGTTTTCAGGTCTTAGCAATTTGAATCATCCCCAGTACCGCTGGAGGCTCAATACTTAGTTTACCAACACCATTTCCAGCAGGGGGAGACATGGTACCTTAAATGCTGAGCTAGAATTTGGGACTAGATTTCCCCCTGTAAGCAGGGCTGGGTAAGAAACAGCAACTCTTTCCAGTCTACGTCAATAAATTATTATCACCTGTCCATATGAGGATTTGGCTTTCTAGTTCCATGTAACATAACATAAAGAGTTAGCCATGTATGTCTGTATGTACGTGTGTGAGATATTTTTAAACTTTCAATTCTTTTATTTATTCAATCTTGTATTTATGTGTAGCTCTGGCTGGCCTGGTACTCACTTAGTAACCCAGGCTGACCTTGCTTTAAATTTACAGTGGCTCTCCTGCCTCCGTCTCCTGAATGTTGGAATTACAGATGTGAGCTACTACACCTGGTATGCTTTCAAATATTTATAAATAATAATCATTTTTTCCAGGCTTGGTGGTACATTCCTGCAATCCTAGCTACTTGAGAGGCTGAGGCAGAAGGGTGACTTGAGGCCAAGAGTTCAAAGCTACTAGAGATAGGGGATGGGGAAAGATCCCAGTGCTTAATAAATACATAATTGATACATAAACTTGAATATAAAATTACAGTTTTTTAGAATCATTTTAAAAATACTAGTGTAATGTGAATCAAGGAAAGTATCCAAAATATCCAGTTTCAAACCCCAGCTTCTCTTAGTATCATTTTATAAAAGAAAGGGCATTTTGATATCCCATATACATAGAATAGGTATAATCTCACAATTTAAAAAAAATGGATAACTTCAAATTGGGCGTGGTGGTGCACTCCTTTAATCCCAGCACTCAGGAGGCAGAGGCAGATGGATTTCTGTGAGTTCGAGACTAACCTGGTCTACAGAGTGAGTTCCAGGACAGCCAGGACTACACAGAGAAACCCCGTCTCAGAAAACCAGAGTCATGCCAGACTTTTCACATCGTCAGTTCTCCAGTTTTTACCAAGGACCAATAAAAGCATAAGGGCTGGATCGGTTCCTGGACCAGCATTTGGGAGGCAGTGGTTTCATTTCTCTGAACATCCCTTGGCCATCTGTAGCATCCTCTAGTCTTAATCAGTACCTAGTATCTTTGATGCTGGCCAATTCATAGAGCTTCCAAAGAGGATTTGATGGTGTGGTGGATACATGTGTGCACTGGAGGGCCAGAGGCATGCTGAGAGAAGAGGCAGCTATTCAGCATGGACAGGCAAGAGAGACCATGGTCTCACACAGACAGAGCTATGTACAGGTCAGAAATAAAAGGATGCAGGTGCAGACCTCCTTCCTCCCAGCAGCCAGGTTACTTCTTGACCAGTGTTCATAGTGGGAATCTGGAAAAGCAGGATCATGAGAAAGACTGTGTTTAGGTACAGTCAGGATACTAACATTCAGACACAGTTTTGAGTCTGTGGGGCAGGAAATTCCTCCCAAACAGCTAGCTTGCTTTCTCTCTCCTTGCTTGCACCTTAAACTCCTTTCACATTTAAATACTCAGCCTCTAGTACATAGAACATTCAGGGCTAGCCCGGGTTACATGAGACCCTGCAGAGAGAAACAGAGAAATGAGGGGGCATGAAGACTCTGTTTTTGTTTTTCCAGAGCTGAGGACTGAACACAGGGCCTTGCGCTTGCTAGGCAAGTGCTCTGCCACTGAGCTAAATCCCCAACCACTCTCCAGACTCTGTTCCACACTTGTAATTCTGGAAAAGAATCACCAAAGCCCCAGTATTCTTGTCTTTCTGAATCATTTGTGGAGTTTTTTTCCATACTGATCATTTGCTCAAGAATGTCTTTGAGGAGCTGGAGAGATGGCTCAGAGATTAAAAGCACTGGCTGCTCTTCCAGAGGACCCTGGTTCAATTCCCAGTGCCCATATGTCAGCTCAAACAGCTGTAACTCCAGTCCCAGAGGATCTGATGCCATCCTCTGGCCTCCACAGACACTACATGCCCACCATGCTCAGGCATACATGCAGGCAGAACACTCAGACATTATTTTTTTAATCTAAAAAAAATGCCTCCTTAAATTTTATTTAGCTAACGGCTGATGGTATTTGGAGTCTATAAAGAATATCAGTAGAGAGGACATGTGTAGTGTCTGTGTGACAGACCAAAACATTCCTAAACACTGTATACCACACTCCTGGAGGAGGTAGACTGAATCTGTGAAGGTGTCACTCAAAAGGTTGGCCAGTTGGGTCTGTTTAAAGCAGTGTCATTACTGGGACACTTAGATTCATTGAACCTGCTCCATCCTTACCCTGTATCTTAAAAGATTAGGAGACTAAAGGGCTGGGTAGATAGCTCAGTTAGAAAAGTATTTGACATGAAAGTACGATGCTCCAGCATCCAAATAAGAAGCCAGGCATAAGTGTGCCCTGTGGTCTCAGCACGGACAATGTCTTAGTTACTGTTCTATTACTGTGAAGACACCATCACCAAGGGAACATGTAGAAGAAAACATGTAAATGGAGGCTTGCTTACAGAGGACTAGTCCATGATCATCATGGTAGGGAGCATGGCAGCAGGCAGGCAGACAGGCATGGCACTGGAGTAGTAGCTGAGCACTCACATCCTGAATTGCAGACTGGCAGAGAGAGTGAGACTGGGCCTGATGTGGGCTTTTGAAACCTTAAGCCCACCCCAGTGACACACCTCCTCCAAGGCCACACCTCCTAATCCTTCCTAAACAGTTCCACCAACTGGGAATCAAATAGATGAACCTATGGGGGCCATTCTCAATCAAACCACCCCAGAGGAGGTGGAGACAAAGTGGATGACTGGGGCTTCTGGCCAGCTAGGCTAGTTCCAGCTCCCAGGGAGAACTTGTCACAGAAGTTGAGGTGGATGGCTCCTGAGGATCAACACTCAAGGTTGTCCTCAGGCTTCCATTTGCACACACATACATGCACACGCGCACACGCACACACACAAGTTCACATACGCCAACAAAAAAGAACTAGGAGACTGAAATTGGTAAATGGAATTACGTTTATTTATAGTGTGACCAAACTCTTGGTTTCTCTCCACTTCCTCCACTTCCTCTGTAGCAGGTTTCCAACTCTATGGGAAAGATGAAATAAGTCAGGAAATGTGCACATGTGAAGCTCTCAGAGACCTGTGTGATGTCTTCCTGGGAAGCAAGTTCCTCAATGGACTGGTGCCAGGACTTCGCCTTCCCTCCCCCCAGCACGGGATTCCTGGGGAAATTTTAAAGATCTGGAGGCCATTGTTTCAATAGCCTGATAGCCAAAGGAAGGGCCTCTCCTTTGACTGTCTCCTCCCCGCCACAGCTGTGACAGCCACAACAGGCTGGACTAGTAGCTGCCTGATGTTAAAATGAAGTCTTGCCTAGTTATTCACAGGCTACCTGAATGGTTTACCTCAGTCCAGAACTTGCTTCTCTGGGGCTGATTGCCTAATCTAGGAGCCCAAGATCTCAAAAGGAAGGCTGAAAAGCAAGCAATCAGTTTCCAAAGACTCAAATACGATAGACTGGATGGCTTTTTTTTTTTTTTTAATTTGGGAGGGGGCAACCTTTTGAAAATTTGAATGAAAGAGTCAGTCCTCCTAATTTAAATTCAAATTCTCTTTTCCTTGCTTAACGTCAAAGAAGATTTGAGACATGATAGAGCATTCATCCTCCAATGCTTTATCATGCTTTTATCACACTGTTTTGCAGACAGTGACGGTGTCGAGACCTGTGTCGGAGAGGATTCTTCACAAGGCCACCCGTTTGTCTATGAAATCATACACCTTGGAAATCACAACAAACAAAGGCATCACTAAGAGGTCTTTTCTACAGGCGTGAAAAGTGTGGGCTGCTCACCCAGAACTTGGGTCTCTTTGTAGTTTAGTGTCCCTTTTAGGACTTAAAAAGCTGCTTTTATCCGGCGAAGCCACATCCATTGGAGCCAGGGGACAGTCTCCGGAAGCCCTCCTTGAAGTGACAGCCGTCCACATGCAGAACTGCAGGGCTTTTGGTCTGCCGCTTTGTGGTCAGGGATAACAGGATCACCCACAGGATCTGCCCACAGGGTGAATCCAGAAAGCTCGCTGCAATGCCCTCTACTAATAGTTTAATGAAATCCCCCCTGCAACGACTTGTGACAGGGCACAGGGATTTTCTCCAGTGTCACCACACTTCAGCGGGAGAGATTGTGTCATCCCGGGGCAGGTGTTCTTAGCTGTCCTTTACCTGTTGTCTCCTCATGTCACATACAGCCAAGAAAGCAGATGACAGGCTCATCTCTATTACTCGGGGAATTACCGAGTGGTTGCCTAGCAACTCCCACAGAGCAATCAACACGGTCTCTGTTGTGGTATGTAGAGTGGTTGGCTTTCCTCTGAAGAACATTTGCATATTTCTCTGGGGTCTCTGGAAAAAAATAGGTGTGTCTCCCCAGCACTGACGCTCCTCAGATGGTCTTTTGTCTTGCCTTTCCCCAGTATTCATTCTACGGTAGTTCACTACCACAGTAAATGACAATTATTTGCTCTGATTATTAATACAGCAAATGCTTCAGTTCAATTCCATTCAGTAAGTGCTTTCTATGTTCTCCATAGCACTCTACACACCATAAAGAATTACAAGGGTGAACAGTGTGGCCCCTGTTCTTAGCCAACATGAAATTTGGTGTAGATAGGTGGGCAGCACGGCTCAATGGTAGAGCATTTACCCAACACATACAAAACCCAGGGCATGGTCCCCAGCCTGGGATGGGGAGAGGGAGAGAGTGGAATAATGAATGTAATTGCTTACATCTTTGATATGTATAGAAATTACTTGTTTACATGTGTGAAACAACTGTGTATATGTGAGATAAAGGTATTTTTATTTAGGATAATTCCTTTGTGTTTGATCAAAGGATTTTTTTTTTTTTTTGCTTTTATAGACTCCTGCCTTTCTAACTTACAGCAGCAATCAGTTCAAAAAGCTGTAATCAGTTCAAAATCACTTTTAAGACCCAGCTCCTATTGGAATCTAAATAATTAGCAGCTCTTAAAAGGCTCTTGCAGAGATGTGTCGCTGCCGATGTCTGATAGGATGGCGCAGCCCAGCCCCAGCCTGTACTGCAGTCTTTCGGGATAATTGCTGCGGTGATGTTCACAGCCTGCACCTCTATTTTACACATTCTAGTTTAAAGAAGCCTCTTCCTTACCCTTCTTTGTCTGCTTTGGAGCAACGTGACTGCCTCTCTCCACTTAAGGAAGGCCTTTGGTCCTTTCTAACGCAGACCAATAGGGAAGGGTGGAGGGAGGGCTGTATGTCATCGTCAAGGGGGTGACCCAAGAGTCCCCCATCAGCATCCGTAAGCGCATCCATGGACTGGATGTCAGGAGCCATGCCCTTTGGACACCCAGAGGGATCCCAAAATCTGCCATGGATGAGATGGGGACCCTAAATGTGTACATGGATACCATGCTCAAAAGACTGTCTGGGCCAAAGGAGTAAGCAATGACCCAGACTGTATCTGTGTGTTTTTCTGGAAAATATGATGAGGGTTTACAAAGCAAGTCTACCGACGGGCAGTGCAAAGGTAAGTAACTGCTTAGTATCAGGGTTAGAAAAAGACCCTGAGGCTGGAGAGATGGCTAAGAGGTTAGGAACACTTACTGATCTTGCAGAGGACCTGGGTTCACTTCCCAGCACCCACATCTCTCTCAAAAACAAAAACAAAAACAAAAAACAGTGGTAATGGCTCTTGCTGCCTAGGCTGACAACCTGAGTTCTGTCCCCAGGACTAATCCCAGGACACACATGGTGAAAGCAGAAAATCAGATCCCGAAAGCTGTCCTTTGACCTCCACACTTATGCTATGGGATGTTTCTGCCCATCCCCGAATACAAATAAATGAAATTGAAAAAATTTTTTTTGTTGTTTTTGTTTTTGTTTTTTTCGAGACAGGGTTTCTCTATGTCATTTTGGTGCCTGTCCTAAATCTCACTCTGTAGACCAGGCTGGCCTCGAACTCACAGAGATCCGCCTGGCTCTGCCTCCCGATTGCTGGGATTATAGGTGTGTGCTGCCGCCACCACCCGGCGAAAAAAAATTTTTTTACTCTTTCCTTTTGCGGCCATCGCTGGATCGTAGCCGCCAAAACGAAGTTCAATCCCTTTGTGACTTCGGACCGAAGCAAGAACCGCAAACAGCATTTCAATGCACCTTCTCACATTCGGAGAAAAGATCATGTCTTCCCCCTTTTCCAAAGAGCTGAGGCAGAAGTACAACGTTCGGTCTATGCCCATTCGAAAGGATGATGAAGTTCAGGTTGTCCGAGGACACTACAAAGGCCAGCAGATTGGCAAAGTGGTCCAAGTGTACAGGAGGAAATATGTCATCTCCATCGAACGAGTGCAGCGAGAAAAGGCTAACGGCACAACTCTCCATGCGGGCATCCACCCCAGCAAGGTGGTTATCACCAGGCTAAAGATGGACCGCAAAAAGATCCTGGAAAGGAGAAGGGCAAATACAAGGAAGAAACGATTGAGAAGATGCAGGAGTAGGGGTGTGTCCTACACAGCTTTCATTAAAGACTGCTCAAATAGTCAAAAAAAAAATTTTTTTTAAGTGGACCTGGGACAGCTACTCCATTGCCCTTCGATGCTGGCAACCCCTTCATTGTTACCATCTAGATCCTGTATGCCACAATTTGTTCAGTGTGTCTTCTCTTTCAGAGTTCAGCTGAAAGAGCAAAAAGCTGTGCCTCAGAAGGCTGTGTCCAATCCTATCTGATTCACTGTCCCTAACACAGAACAAAAACCTATTTTCTTTCCATTCAGAAACCCTGCAGCTAGACTTTCTCTAGTGGGGACAGTTTCTGAGAGATTCCTCCCTTTTAACTAAAGTGCCCTCCAAGAAGTGGGGGGCTGGGCAATCAGCTAATGGGTGCATGGACTGCCCTGGATAACTCCACTTGGAAGGATGCTGTCTTGTAAGTTTATCTATTTACTTTTAAACTTATTTTTATTTTGTTCTGCTTGTATGGATGTTTTGCCTACATGCATACCTATACACTGTGTGTATGTGCCTGGTGCCCTGGGAGGTCAGAAGAAGGCATAGGATCTCCTGGATCTGGAGGTGCAGGTGGTTGAGAGCGGCCATGTAGGTGCTAAAAATCAAACCCAGGTCCTCTGGAAGAGCAGCCTGTGTGTGCTCTTAACTGCTGAGTCACCTTTCTAGCCCCTAATTATTTCTTTTATGTTTATATTTTGAGATATGGTCTTATGTAATCCACACCAGCCTTAAATTCCCTATATAGCTGAAGATGACCTTGAACGCCTGAATGCCTGTGGTGCTGGAGAATAAACCCAGGGCTTCCAGAATGCTGGCTAGGCCCTCTACCCTCTACACTCCATGCCCCTTTTGGTTTCAGGGTTAGGGATTGAATGAACCCAGGGCCTTAGTTGCAGCCTTGTGCAAGCTACAGGCATGCACTTTACCAATGAGCCACACCTCCAGCCCGTAGGGTTTTTCAAGGTATCATTGCTAAAGACAGGATTTTCCTGGGAACCACACACAGAAGGAAGAAGGCCCGGTATCTCAGAACACCAAACTTCCACATCCTGTTTGTACCATGCTGTATCCTGGCCTACATGTCACTAGCCTCTACCGACGGTCTGACGGATGCCCCTGGTCATCTTCCTTAGTTATTTCTGGAAGGCCCCCAAGGGCTCAGGAGCAAACCAACCATGTACTTCTACTTTAGCCTCTCCACAGATGACCTGGTGCTCGCAAGCCCCTTAAAAGGGGCTGCCTCTGAACGAACACCGTCACTCGGCTTCACACAGATATTCTCGCTCTTCTCTGCTAAGGTCACTGTAGGTCAGCAAGTTGCCAACGCAGAAAGCAGGAAGAGGCAATGACCCTCTCACAGAGTGTGTACTTTCTCTTTTTTAGGATATTAGCATTTTATTTCTTTGTTTGTGTATTTATTTAGAGACAGGGTCTTTCTAAGTAGCCCTGGCTGTCCTGGAACTTCCTATGAAGGTCAGGCTGGGCTCGAACTCAGAGATTATCTTGCCTCTGCCTCCTAAGTGCTAGAATAAAAGGGATACACTACCATACCTGGAGAGTGCATGCTTTCTTACCTAGTTGGACTTGATGGTGCGCGCCTTTAATCCCAGCACTTGGGAGGCAGAGGCAGGAGATCTCTGGGCGTTTGAAGCCAGCCCGGTCTACATAGTGAGTTCCAGGACAGCCAGGGCTACATAGTGAGACCCTCTCTCAAAAAGCCAAAAAGAAACAAACAAAGCAAAACCCGCTTGTGGTTTTAGTTGCTCCAAATCTTATAAGATTACTTCTCTTTTTCCCACTCGGGCTTTTCCCTTCAGAAATGTGCTGTTCAAGCTAGGAGGTAGGAGGACAGGTGGTTAATTCCTCCATCCCTCTTGTCTTTCTTCCCAGAGAACCTTGCACTTAACTCAAACAGAACTCAAACCTTTCCTCCACCAATAAAAAAAGTAGCAAAAGTCAGTCAGTCGATACAAATAATTACTAATATTTGGGCCGGTTGAGAAGGCGGGCGACATTCTGTAAATTCCATTCCATCATTCATAAAACCTAGGAACATTAGAGGTTCCTCATATAACTTTAAAATAGGGCCAGAGAAACTGCTCAGTTCTTAAGAACACTTACTAATCATCCAGAGAATATGAATTCAGAACCCAGAACCCATGTAGGGAGGTTCACAACTGCCTGTAATTCCACTTCTATGGGACCTGGCCCCCCAAAGCACCCACACACATGTGACATGCATTCCCACAGACACACACATACATAAACACAAACTCTTGAATAAAAAAAAAATACTAAAAATAAAGCTTTTTTTTTCAAACTTAAAAATGGAGGGCTAAAGAGACAGATGACTCAGCAGTTTCCGAGAAATTGAACCTGGTTCCCAGCACCCATATGGCTGCTCACAACTTTTTTGTAACTCCAGTCCTAGGGGATCCAATGCCCTCTTGTATGCCTGGTGCATAGGCATACATGCGGGAAGAAACACCCCCACACAGAAAATAAACATGAAGGTTTAGGACTGGCAAGATAGCTCAGAGGTTAAGAGCTTCCAGAGGTTCTGAGTTCAATTCCCATCAACCACTTGGTGGCTCACAACCATCTATAATGAGATCTGGTGCCCTCTTCTGGCATGCAGACATACTTGCAGGCAGAACACTGTATACATAATAAATAAATAAATCTTTAAATAAACAAAGGTTAAAAAAATTTTTTTAACTTAAAGATGATGTCAAGTGTTAGGTACAGAGGTGACATCCCAGCACTCGGAAGGATGAGAAGTTCAAGGCCAGCCTTGGCTACATGAGACATTGTTTGACAACAACAACTTACATGAAGTATATCATCCCATTCTTTTGTTTTGTTTTGTTTTTGAGGCAGAGTTTCTCTGTAGACCAGGCTGGCCTTGAACTCGGAGATCTGCCTGCTTCTGCTGGGATTAAAGGTATGCACCATCACCTCACTCTTTAAAGGCTCCTCTTGGGAGCTGAACTTCAGGAAGCTCAGTTGGCAGAGTACTTGCCCGGCATGATTAAGCTCTGGGTTTGATCCCCGGCACCAGCGTAAACTGGATGTGATGGCTCACTTCTATAATCCCAACACTTGGAGGTAGGGAAGGGAGCATCAGAAGTTAAACATTATCCTCAGCTACAGAGTGACTTCAAGGCCAGCCTAGAACACGTGAAACCCTGCCTCAAAACAAAATTTGAAAGTAATGATGAAAATTTAAAACAAAGATATTTCCTAACAGACATTACTGTATGAAAGTGCCACTTCATGGGAACCCTGAGAGATGCTTTCAGATGAGAAATAGCAGTGGCTGTGCTCCAAGTTCAATGCCCCTAGTATGGTTCTTGTGCTACAAGAAAGTTCTCCATAGAAACACCCGCTCCCACCCCCAGAAAAGAAGCCAACACAAAACAAACTATTTACATCCAGAAAACACAAAAGACAGAGAGAAATGTGATTGCCCTGAAAGTAAATGTTGGAGTGAGACGGGCCAAGAGAGCTAGTATGATAGACAGAACTCAGGGTGTGACGTCACAGGTGTCAGATGTCACTAGAGTCCCAGTCCTGACTCCGACAAGCAGGGTTCCTCCTGTGACAGTCTTCCATCACTGTGGCAAAACACCCAAGATAAAGCGAGGAGAGGGTGCAGGGACACGTGATTTTGCTCTTTTGTTTTGTTTGTTTGTCTGTTTCTTTCCAAGGCAGGGTTTTTCTGTGTAGTGCTGGAACTCACTCTGTAGACCAGCTATGATTTTAGTCCTTATACAAAGCAAAGAAAGAAACAAAGCCAGGCATAGTGCCGTACGCCTTGAAGAAAGTAAGTAAGTAAAATTTGCTAGCCTGGGAGATAGTTCAATCCCCAGAACCCACATTTAAAAATTAAAAAAAAAAAAAAAAAAAAAAAAAAACAACCACAGCCTGGAGTGCTCACAAGGTTCAGAAGGAAGAAACAAGAGAGGTCCCGCTTCAGTGAGGGAGAAGGCAAGACCCACCTCCTGAGAGTTGTCCTCCGACTTCCACATATACACCATGGCGCACACACACACACACACACATCATACACACACACACATACGTACACATCACACACACACACATATCATACACATCACACACACACACACACACGCACACACACACACACACACGCACACATCACACACACATATCATACACATCACACACACACACACACACATACGTACACATCACACACACACATATCATAGACACACATCATATACACACACATCATACACACACACACACACACACATATCATACGCACATACGTACACACACACACACATATCATAGACACACATCATATACACACACATCATAC